TATATAAAAGAGTGATTCAAAATAATCGTTTATCCTTAAAAATGTTATATTCTTGAGGATGCATTCGGGGAACTCACTAATAGCGCAATTTAGCGCTACTACCGTTCGGAGAGCTACTAATTGGTAGCGCTACCAAATACTATCGTTACGTCATATTGATAGCATTTTTACGTCATAACTTCGCGCTATCAACGCTATCGCTTTCGAGGTAGTGCATGGATAGCGTTTGGTAACGTTAGCGTTTATATACAAACTCTTTACAATTATCTATTTCAACTTATATGACTTATATGTTTCAGCATGCCTGAAATTAAAAAAAAAAGATTTATTATATTTGTTCAAATAATTGTTATATAATGTAGGTCTACGCATATAATATCATAGTTTGATTAGTATCGGTTATTTTATATTCGACAGTATCAATTCGAATGAGAGAACTACAGCATATTGTGTAGCTATAAGGCATGGAACTTCTGAAGATTGGGAATTTTTATGGAACGAATACTTCAATTCCAATTATGTGGCGGATCAAATGGTGATTCTAAAAGCTTTGGGATGCAGTCAGAATACCACCATTTTAGAAAAGTAAGCGTATACGAAAATATTGTTATTATTTAGTGTTATTATTATATAAAAGTACTGTTACAAGATAATAAGTTTCGCTCAATACTACTTATTATAAATGTTAAGTTATTCAGGAGTAGATTATACATTTTATTGGATATATAAAATAAATAGAATTAAAATATTTAGATTAATAAACAAATAAAAAAGATTAATAAAAAGATTAGATTAATAATATATTTATAAAAATAATTAAAATCTTTAGTACTCTTGAAGTCTCTTTAACTTGTACAGTTTGTAGACATAAGTCGAACAAAGGAAAATAGTGACATAATAAAGCATTCACGTTGATATTGCATATGTCTTTATTACTGTTCTTTTTAAAATATAATTAACATTAATTTGTTTTTAACAGATATTTAAAATATGCTATAACTAGTTATGAGATCAGTCGAATTCGAAATCAGGACAGCAGGAGCGTGTTCGCGGCCGTTTATAACTCTGGCTTGCTTGGCGCTGAATATGTTCTTGATTTTGTTGATAAATATCACAAGGAAATTGAGAAATAGTAAGTTTTATTTATTATTATAAACTATATAAAACAAAAAGAGAGATTACTAATACTAATTTTCAAAGAAGAAATATTTGAAATACAATATTTAAATTGCATCTGTAATTCCAATATTGGTACTAGTTTATATTATCGTATTCATATAAATGTGTTTATAATATTTATATGTAATTATGTAAAATATATTTCTTTAAAATTCCTTTTACTAAAAACGTCATTCAAATAAATAATTTAATCAATATTCGCAGATATAAAATATGTATATATGCACACACACACACACACACACACACAACAACACACATATTATATATATATATTAATTGTGTGTGTGTGTGTGTGTGTGTGTGTGTGTGTGTGTAGTGTATA